CTTTTTTAAATGAGAAAAATGACGATTTTAACGATCTATTAAACGTTTGTCGTTTGTCGTTTTGCTATTATTATTATCATTATCATCACCATTACGAAAAAAACGAGAGAGAAAAAAATTTTTTTTTTTTTTTTTTTTTTGTTATTTCGGTTGTTTTTCACGGGGTTTGCGTTTGTTATCACACGCACGCATGCACGCACAAACAAACGCACAGTCATTGAAATTCCATACGACCCTGAAATTGTTTTTTTTTTTTTTTGTAAACCTTTAAAAAAAATCGTCGACGTACCTTGAAAATCACCGAGAGAAGAAGGTTCGATCTCTCTCTCTCTCTCTCTCTCTGTTTCTTCCCAAATGTTCTCGCCCCCCCCCCAAAAAATAAGTGAGGAAATTGTCTATACAAAGACAAAAGCTTTAATTATTTATCATTAGCGTACACGCACACGCACACACACACACGCACAACGTAAACACCGTTACCGACCTGAATACGATCCTGAAGATGGGCGTAAACGAGACAAGTTTACAATTATTATTATTATTATTATTATTATTATTATTGCTATTATTTTCGAAACTGGATGTTGTCAATTGCAAATTGATGTATTGACAAAATGACGTACTTTGAACCTTCTTCCATTATCAGATTCATATTCAGGCTTAAGGTTTCGAAAGCCTGAAATTGGAAAAATGGTGTCTCCATTTTTTTTTTTTTTTATTCGTATCTGACATTTTTTATTATTTATATATATATATTATTTGAAAATGTCGAAGCGAACGTTTCATTTTCCATTTTTCCACGGGAGCTCTAATTCATTCGTCATTCATTGAATGATTTAAGTAAAGATCCCCCCCCACCCATCATAATAATTCGTTCGTCTCTCTCTCTCTTTCTCTTTTTGCATATGGCGGTAGGTCAGCAGCTGTTTGACTTTTTCCCATATATCTTTTGGCATTTTTCCATTTATTTCGTTTTTAATATTAACAGACAAAAAAAGTTCGAGTTTCGTTTCGATAAGACTGTTAAGAAAAAACGGGAAAAAGGGGGAAAGAGAGGGAGAGATGGGGAGGGGGAGAAGGAGTTAGGGCGAGGAGGAGGAAAAGGGAGAAGAGAGCGGAAATGGAGAAATTTTTCTTTTTTTTTCTCTCTCTCTCTCTCTCTATTTCGATTCGCCTACATTTTCTGAAAAAAAAATTTTGAAAATCCGCACTGCGGAGCAGAAGACAAAATATTATTTATATATATAAATATATATAATATATAAAAGTGCGGTATAAGTTTGCGATTAAGTTTTTTTATCCGTTGGAAATTTTTTTTTTTTTTTTTTTTTTTTGGCATGAGAAAAATTCGTTTGGCACGATTTTGAAGATTTTTCTTATTATTTATAGCCCTCTCACGTTTTTTTGCCCCCACCCTCTCTCCTCCCCCTCTTGTATTCATCGCTCCCCGTTTCTTATTATTATTATTATTATTATTATTATTATTCCACTTCTGCCACTTTTTTTTTTTTTTTCCTTCTGTCTGTTTTAATTCATCGTCGCGGTGTATTAAATATCTGAAAAAAAAGTATTTTTACTCGTCGTAAATTTGCCAAAATAATAATCAATCGTCGATATCATTATTATCATTATTATCATTATTATTATGACGATTTTCACGAGTCGGTTAACACACGCGCATACACGCACACGGACACGTACACCTGGCAAGGTAATTTCATTCAAGTCGTTTGTCCATCGATTGATCGATCGATCGATCGATTGGTTTCCTCTCTCGACAACTGATCTCAATCCATGCATTAACCGATAAATAATAATAATAATAATAATAAAGTTGATGACGTAAAAGAAAAAAGTTTTTCGGAGGGAGAAAGAAAATTTAAAAAACAAAAAATTACAAAGAAGGGAGAGAGAGAGAGAGAGAAAATGTACGAAAGTATCGCAAGTCCTGCCAACAAAACAAAAAAAAAAAAAAAGTTTGAATAATTTTTTTTTTTTTTTTTTTTTACGAGCGAAAATTCGTTGATCTTGAACTCTTTTCTCTTGTTGACCTAATCATAATAAACTTAAATATTTTAAACTCCTCGAATGGTTTTCTTTTCATAAACCAAGAGTGAAAAAGAAAAGAAAATGATGATGATGATGAGGGAAAATAAGGTCAATCATTCAAAAGGAAATTTCCGTTGAAAAAAAAAAAAAAAAAAGAAAAAAATCACGAATCGAAAGTATGGAAGTGGTGTGCGAGAAAGAAAAAGAAAGAAACATGGCGAATCGTTACGAGAAAGAGAGAGAGAGAGAAGAATGAATGAATTTAAAATAATTTACAAACTGCTGCGACGACTATGACGACGACAACGACAAACAACAAACGAGAACAACAATTCGACAGCGATTTTGTTTTTTTTTTTTTAATGGACTCTCGACAATTGCCGATTAAAAAAAATTTACTTTCCTGTGACCTTGTCTCTGATAACATGATAAAAAAAAAAAAAAGTTTGCCCGCCATTTTTGCGAGTCGAAATAAATAATGAGAGATCTCTCTCTCCTCTCTCTCTCTCTCTCTCTCTCTACCCAAAAGGTTTTGTTTTGGTTTTGCAAAACCCTCCGTCGTCTGCTCATTTTCTTCTTTCTGAAACTTTTTACTCACGGGATATATAAACCACTTTTGCTCATCTTACGTGTGATTATAATGGCGAACGAAAAAACCTTTTAGGTCGTAACTTTGCGAAGTAAGGTACCAAACCCTTTTATCGCGTGAAAAAAACAATAGAAGAAGAAGGAAAATAAAAATGTCGACGAATATAAAACGAATTGTGTTGCCTGCCGTTTGCGTTTGTTCGTTCGTTCGTTCGATCGTTTGTTTGATCGTTTGATTGTTTGTTTGTTTGGCGGGTTTTTTGTAATTCTATTGATTTATTATTATTATTGTTTTTTTTTTTTTTTTTATTAGCTCGGATTATTAATAACGAACGATTGTTGTTGTTGTTCGTTTTTTTTTTTTTGCGGGGTATTAAATCGTTTGATTGTATTTTCAATTAAAAAAAAAAAAAAAAGAAAAAAATGCGTCATTATTTTGTCATACGTTTTGTAATTTAAAAATTTATTATTATTATCATCATCATTATTATTATTTTTCTTATTTTCGAATCATGTAACAAACGCGTGACGATTCGTGAAATAAATATAGGAAAATTTTTTTTTTTTTTTTTCTTCTCTCTCTCTCTCCATTAAAAGCCAGAAAAATAATTATCACCCAAGGTTTAGTCGTCGGATGTTCTTCCCTATAACAACCTCGAATATTATTTAAAAGCCGTTAATGAAAAAAAAAAAAAAAAAAAAAAAAATCCTGAAACGTTTTTTGCGCGCGCGCGAGGTTGGCAAGATTTTTCGTACCTAGAATTTGAAAAACTGGTCGAAAGCGTGAGAGAGAGAGAGAGAGAGAGAGGGGGGGGGTGAGGTGTTGGTGATGACGTACGATCGGTGGTAACTCATTAGAATTTCTAATTTGTTTTAACAAAAGGTTTTCGAATCGCGTTTCTCTCTCTCTCTTTCTCTGTCTCTCTCTTTCTCTCTCTCTCTTTCTTTTTATTTCTTATTTCGTCGTAGGTTTTTTTTTTTTTTTTTAAATTTTAAATTATTCAAAAGTTTATTTCAATGAAATTATTATTTAATTAATTAAAACGAATTATTATTATTATTATTATTATTTTCAAATTTATTTATTTATTTATTATGTTAATGGAGTTTATGTTTGTTAGAAATCAAAAAGAATCCTTCGAATTTTTTCCATACATTTGCCAATAAAACGAGCTGGAAGGTGGAAGGTGGGAATCCCCCCCCTTTTTTTTTTCTCTGATTACGTATAATTTCTCGATTTTTTCGATCGATTGATCGATTGATCGATCACGATAAATCGTTAGTCGTTAATGATTATAAAACTTGTCACCTTTTTTTTTTTTCGAATTCATTCTAATTGTTAATAATTACCTACCACACGCGTTTCACACGCTTTTAAGACGCGACGTAACAATTTATTAAACAAACGAACAAACAAACAAACAAATTAACACAATCATCATTTCGTGTGTGTTTTTTTTTCTCTCGTCGTTTTGTTTGTTTGTTTGCTTGTTTGTTTGTCATAGATTCCAACAAATGAGCCAACAGCAAATGATGATGATGATGATGATAAATTTCAAAGTCGAAACCGTCCGTAGGGATTTTTTTTAATTGACAGAATTTTTTTTTTTTGTTGTTGCGTTGCTACCACTGCTTAACGTTTGGAGTTTTTTTTTTTTTTTTTTTATGAATTTGACAGAGAATCATCAATTTAGTCATTAACATTTGAAAAAAGTTAAAAAGACCTCGACCAATGAAAAAAAAGATTTAGTTAACGAACGTGCCATTGGGAAAGAAAAAAAAGAGACGGGAAAACATTTTTTTTTCTTTTTCTCTCTCTCTCTCTCTCTCTCTCTCTCTCTCTCTCTCTCTCCTTCTCTCGCTGTCAGAAATAAAAAGAAGAAGAAAAAAAAAAAATAAAATGAGTTACGAAGCCATTAACGCCTTGTTATGTAATAAAAATATGGCCTCGTTGCAATAATTTAATAAATGACCTAAGCGAATATTTTGCCACCATTTTCTTTTTAAAAAGAAAAGAAAAAGAATAAACGAAAGGGGGGAAACAAAACAAACGACTTGGGAAAATGGGGGAGGGGGAGCTGGGAAAGGGAGACGGGGTGACAAACAAACAAACAAAAAAAAAGAAGGAAAAATGAGGAAAATAAATTTTTTTTTTTTTTTAGAAAGGGAAAGGGTCGGAAAAAAAGGAAAAAAAAATTTCAACGTCGTTTTGCCGTAGTTTCCCCTCCCCTCCTCTTCCCCTCCCTCTCTCCATTTTCTTTTCTTTTCTTTAATTTGGTGCAGTGCAAAGGAAAAAATAAAAAATTTTAATCGATAATTTCTTTTTTTTTTTTTTTTTTTTACGAAGGCGTAAGAAAAATAAAATGGCGGACGACAAACACGGTCGTTCGGATTCGTATAGAGTGGCAACGGTCACGACGTTAGAGGACGATAACAAAACTGCAGACGGGAAAACAAAAACGAAAAGAAAAGTCGGTAAAAAGGAAGGAAATTTGGATGACCTCAAACAAGAATTGGACATCGATCATCACAAGATAACCTTAGATGAATTATACCAAAGGTACGACGCACTCGCAGAACGAGGAGAGAAGAAAGCAAAATAAGAAGGTTTTAAGGTTTCGGATTTTAAAATTACAAATTCTTTTTCAGGTTCTGCACGAATCCAAACACGGGTCTAACGTCGGCCAAAGCCAGAGAAGTTTTAGAACGTGATGGTCCGAACGCTTTGACTCCACCAAAAACAACACCCGAGTGGGTCAAATTTTGCAAACAACTCTTCGGAGGTTTCGCTCTTCTCTTGTGGATCGGAGCCATTCTTTGTTTCATCGCTTATGGAATTTTGGTGAGTTTAATTCAGTTTTCTCTTTCTCTCTCCCTCTCTCTCTCTCTCTCCTGTAGGAGGAAGGGAGAGGAAACCGCCCGAAAAACGTTTGACGAGAGCTTGTAGAAATTTTTTTAATTAAACGGCCCACTAGGACTGGTTGGTGCTGAAGAGACACCCAGATGAAGGAATAGAAAAATAAAACGAAAGAGAGAGATAGTTAGATGCGTAAAATAATGCATAAAAAAAAGACGGCGTAATATGCAATTAATATGAAATATCTTATAAGTAAAAAATAATAAAAATAATTTTTATGTTTGATAACCTTTGACACGGAGAAACTTTTTTTTTTTTTTTTTTTTTTTTTTTTTTTTTTTCATCTATCGTTTGTGTAGGTATTCGCGCTTTGTCATTTTCTAGTAGTTGTGCCTCGTACCTGCCTTGGTAGGGAGGGATTTGAAGTTTAAACCTTGACAAAGAAGATGGTTGCCTCCGGGCTTTAAATTGTCTACGGTTTCTTTTTAATTTGTTCGAAGTCGTTGGTGGGTTTAATACGAAGAAGTTGTAGAACAAAATTTTTTGCCAATTTTTTTCCATCTCTCTCTCTCTCTCTCTCTCTCTCTCTCTCTCTCTCTCAAGCTCTCTAGCTCTCGCTTTCTCTCTCTTTAGCTCTCGCTCTCTCTACTTCTTATCTGATATCTTTTCCTGTTAGATTTTTCTCGTTTCGAAAGGTAGGGTAATACACACGTATATATTTATGACGGAGGGAGGGGAGGGGAGGGGAGGGGAAACGACTAAAAATTAAATTGAAAAGGCGCAAATCGAGTTTCGGTTTGATCACCTTGATATTTTCCAGGTATAAAAAAAAATAAAAAAAATTTTTTTTTATTATTTTGAGCTTATGATCAATCAATATGTTCGAGAATCGAATTCCTGGATTTTTTTTTTTTTTGCATTCGCCTTAAGAAACTCCGGGGTTCCCCCTCCTCTCTCTCTCTCTCTCTCCCTCCCCCCGTTATTACTTTATATATTTTAATTTGAAAATTTTGCGTTCGTTGTTTATAGTTATAATAATAATAATAATAATAATAAGATTTTTTGTTTGTTTTCTTTTCGTACGAAAATTTAATTTTCAACGTATGTTATTCAATACCATTATTATTATTATTATTATTATTATTATTTTTTATAATTAATAATATCGAATTTTTCGTAATCCGAATAAAACTTGTTTTATATATTTAAAAAAAAAAAAAAAAAAAAAAAATTAAGCAAAAATAATGTTGGCCTTCGTTCGCGTATGATAATAATGATAATATCAATAATTTTTAAATATTAATATATATATATATATATTTTTTTTTTCGAAAACAAAACAAAATGGCGACTTTAAAAATCGGTCATGTGATTTTGTTTACGCTTAAAAAAAAGAGAAAGAGAGAGACAGAGAGAGAGGATATGATTTCTTTTTTTTTTTTTTGGGTCGTCGCTTGTCGTTAAAATCGTACTAAAAAAAAAAAAAAAAAAGAAAAAAAAAAAAGTGCTCGTGTCCGCAGGCAACAAACAAACAAACAACCGCCTGATTGAAATGTCTTGCAATCGTTAACATTAAAAACTGTCGAAACGAATTTAAAATGACGCAATAATGTAGGCCGCGACGCCGCATTACTTTTTCATTAAGAACGGTTTTTTTTATATATATTATTATTATTATTATGTATTTCACGAGCGATAGAATTTCGTTTAAGATTTTAAGGATTTTTAACAGAAGAATGAGTCGTTGTTGTTGGTTGTTGGTTGGTTGGTTGGTTGGTTGGTTGGTTGGTTATATGCCATCAACCGAAGGAAAAGTTTTAAAATGTCGGCCTTTTTTTTTTTTTTTTATACAAAACGGTGGTAGACTAAAAGATAAAAATTTTTGTTTGATTTTGTCTGTTTGTAGGCTTCGACGGTCGAAGAACCTGCCGATGATAATTTATACCTTGGAATCGTATTGGCGGCCGTCGTCATTGTCACGGGTATATTTTCATACTATCAAGAATCTAAATCCTCGAGGATCATGGAAAGTTTTAAAAATATGGTACCGCAATTTGCAACGGTCGTGAGAGATGGTCAAAAGTTAACGGTGAGAGCGGAAGAATTAGTCGTCGGTGATGTCGTCGATGTTAAATTTGGCGACAGAATTCCCGCTGACATCCGTATATTCGAATCCCGAGGTTTCAAAGTCGACAATTCGTCATTGACCGGAGAATCCGAACCGCAATCGCGAGGAGTTGAATTCACTCATGAAAATCCACTGGAAACAAAGAATTTGGCATTTTTCTCCACGAATGCTGTCGAAGGTGTGAAAAATTATTTTCATTTAAAATCACGTGATTTCCCTGGTGTTTGGTTTTAACCTTGCGGTGGTTTCTTTTATTGTTTTTTCAGGTACCGCCAAAGGTGTTGTAATTTCTTGCGGTGACAACACCGTCATGGGTAGAATTGCCGGATTGGCCTCCGGTCTCGATACGGGAGAAACTCCCATCGCCAAAGAAATCCATCACTTTATTCAACTTATCACGGGTGTCGCTGTTTTTCTCGGAGTTTCTTTCTTCATAATCGCTTTCATACTCGGATACCATTGGTTGGACGCCGTTATTTTTCTCATCGGTATCATTGTTGCCAACGTCCCTGAAGGTGGGTTAGTAATTTTTTTTCGAAATTGCGTCGCGTTTCGAAACAAATATCGTTTGAAAATGATTTTTTTTTCCGTTTTACAGGTTTGCTGGCTACTGTGACTGTGTGCCTGACTCTTACCGCCAAAAGAATGGCGAGCAAAAATTGTCTGGTTAAGAATTTGGAAGCCGTCGAAACGTTGGGAAGTACATCGACCATTTGCTCTGATAAAACCGGTACTCTAACTCAGAATCGTATGACCGTCGCTCACATGTGGTTTGACAATCAAATCATCGAAGCCGATACAACGGAAGATCAATCAGGTTTTTTAAAATTTTTCAAAAAAGCGCGACACACGTGCATATTTTACAAATAATAATAATAATAATGATAATAATAATAATTTGACATTTTGTTTAGGTGTTCAATACGATAGAACGAGTCCAGGATTTAAAGCTCTTGCACGTATCGCCACCCTTTGCAACAGAGCCGAATTTAAGGGTAACCAAGACAACGTTTCCATTCTTAAAAGAGAAGTCAACGGTGATGCTTCCGAGGCTGCTTTGTTGAAATGCATGGAACTTGCTTTTGGTGATGTCATGACCATTCGAAAGAAGAACAAAAAAGTTAGTATGACGTTTTAAAAAAGGAAAAACATTATTTATATACCTATGGCTGTTGTTTACTTTATTTCTTTTCAAATGAATAATTTCAGGTTTGTGAAATACCTTTTAATTCTACAAACAAATATCAAGTATCCATTCACGAAACGGAAGATCCCAACGATAATCGATACCTGATGGTCATGAAAGGAGCTCCTGAAAGAATATTGGATCGTTGCTCGACGATTTTCATCGGTGGAAAAGAAAAAGTATTGGATGAAGAAATGAAAGAAGCTTTCAACAATGCTTATTTGGAACTCGGAGGTCTCGGAGAAAGAGTTTTGGGTTTCTGCGATCTCATGCTTCCGAGTGATAAATTTCCAATGGGCTTCCACTTCGATGCCGACGATCCTAATTTCCCATTGACCGGTTTCCGATTCGTCGGTTTGATGAGCATGATCGATCCACCGAGAGCTGCCGTACCGGATGCCGTTGCCAAATGTCGTTCGGCGGGTATCAAAGTTATCATGGTCACGGGAGACCATCCCATCACTGCCAAAGCCATTGCCAAATCGGTTGGAATCATTTCCGAGGGTAACGAAACCATTGAAGACATTGCTCACAGATTAAATATTCCCGTGAGCGAAATCAATCCCAGAGAAGCGAAAGCCGCCGTCGTTCACGGAGGAGAATTGAGAGATTTGACATCCGATCAATTGGATGAAATTCTCAAATACCACACGGAAATCGTGTTCGCGAGAACTTCGCCCCAGCAAAAATTGATCATCGTCGAGGGTTGTCAGAGAATGGGTGCCATCGTCGCCGTGACGGGAGACGGTGTGAACGATTCGCCGGCATTGAAAAAAGCTGATATCGGAGTCGCCATGGGTATCGCCGGAAGTGATGTAAGTAAACAAGCAGCCGACATGATACTTCTCGATGACAATTTTGCATCCATCGTGACGGGAGTCGAAGAAGGACGTTTGATATTCGATAATTTGAAAAAATCAATCGCGTACACTCTCACGAGTAACATACCCGAAATATCACCCTTTTTGGCTTTCATACTTTTGGATATTCCACTCCCGTTGGGAACGGTAACCATTCTTTGCATCGATTTGGGAACGGACATGGTTCCCGCCATTTCTCTCGCTTACGAAGAAGCCGAATCGGACATAATGAAAAGACCTCCCAGGAATCCATTCACGGACAAATTGGTCAACGAACGTCTCATATCGATGGCCTACGGTCAAATCGGTATGATACAAGCCGCGGCGGGTTTTTTCGTTTATTTCGTCATCATGGCGGAAAACGGTTTTCTTCCCATGCATTTATTCGGTATAAGAAAACAATGGGATTCGAAAGCGGTCAACGATTTGACGGATTCATACGGACAAGAGTGGACGTACAGGGATAGAAAAGTATTGGAATACACGTGTCACACGGCTTTCTTCGTGTCCATCGTCGTCGTTCAATGGGCGGATTTGATCATTTGTAAAACGCGAAGGAATTCAATTTTCCACCAGGGAATGAGAAATTGGGCTTTGAATTTCGGTTTGGTTTTCGAAACGGCTTTGGCTTGCTTTTTGAGTTACACACCGGGAATGGACAAGGGATTGAGAATGTTTCCGCTCAAATTCGTCTGGTGGTTCCCAGCTCTACCGTTCATGCTCACCATTTTCATATACGACGAAGCGAGACGATTTTATCTTAGAAGGAATCCGGGAGGTTGGCTAGAAAGAGAAACGTATTACTAAAGGAAGAAAAAAATTTTTTTTTTTTTTTTTTTTTTTTTTTTTTGTTTTCCTCCTCTCTTTTTAAATATATAGAAAAACCAACAAGCGGTAGATTATTTTCATTATTTTCATTATTATTATTATTATTATTTTTTTGTTTGTTTGTTTGTTTGTTAGACGAATCTAGTAAAAGTAAAAAAAAAAAAAAAAATAATTAATAAAGAAAAGAAAAAAAAAATAACAAAAGGACCAAGAAACAAAAAGGAAAAAACTCCCCACCATTAAAATAAAATTTAAATTTTCAAAAAAAAAAAAAAAATTATTTTTGCTAAATTTTATATCTATCTATCTATATATATATTTAAATCGTTTAAAATTTTTTCAAATTTTTATTATTATTATTATTATCATTATTATTATTAATATTATTAATAATGTTATTGCACTTTATTCGAAATTTTTTACTGTTTAAAAAAAAAAAAAAAATGAAATTTATATTGTCTTCGTCATCGTCTTCGTCATTTTTATTTATTTATTTATTAATGATAAATTTTATGCGTGTGATACACACGTGTGTGTGCGTATGCGTGTACGTGCGTGTGTCAGGAGTCTGCTGTACAATTTATTGATAATAATAACTATTTATATAGAAAAAAAAAAAAAAATTTTGAAAATCTAGTACAAATTTTTTTTTTTTTCGAAATTTTTATATATATTTATTCCTACACACACACGTGTAAACACACGTTTACGTATATATATAATTTTTTCTGCTACGCCTTTTGCCTTAAAATTAATTATCTTTAAATTAAAAAGAAAATTTGTATTTCTTATTATATATATATATATATATATTTATATATGTTGTTGTGAGAGAAAAGAAAAGAATATATATAAACGTGTACGCAAGAGAGAGAGAGAGGGAGAGAGGGATGGATAGGGAGATGGAAAAAGAAAGAATTTTTCTTATATGTGTGTGTGTGCACGTGTGTGCGTGCGTGCACGCATATGCATGCATATATTCTCTCGTTGTATTTATGTGCCTACTTGCCTTATTGCCTGTCTTTATCTATTTTATATATATATATATATATATATTTCTTTTTTTTTTTTAAATTTTTAATGGAATTTTCTAGAATTTCTTTTTTTTTTTTTTATGAAAAATGTATTAATAGAAAAGAAATGGGGGGGGGGGAGTGATAGAAAGGAAATTGTGCGGTGATATTTTAATAAGTGAAACGCAAAATGGAAATGGTTTATTTACAATAAACGTAGGAAAAAAGAAAAGTTGGAAAAATAATAATAATAATAATAATAATGGTGTTAATGATAATGATAATGATAATAATGAAGAAGAAGGGAGCGTTTCCGCTGTTGTGTTTCACTTGTTTTTCTTTTTTTTTTTTTTTTTTCGTTAAGTTTTCATTTTCGTGCTCACTTCTTTCTCTCTCTCTCTCTTTTTCTCTTTCTCTTTCTTTGTTTTCTTAACGGAAATTTCTAGAAAAAAAAAAAATTAAAAATTTTCACTGTCTGTGATTATTAATTGGTAACAAAATCGTTTTGTCGCCATTTTGTGATTCGAATTGAATTTTTTTTTCTCTCTCTCATTCTCTCTCTCTCTCTCGCTTTCTTCATTATTATTATTATTATTAATATAAAAAATATTTTTTTGTACGATGAATATTTTGAACGCGTATATATATAAAAAAATAATTTTCGGATGTATTTGTTTGATTTTTTTGTTTTTTTTTTTTTTCTGTAAATATTTATCATTATTATCATTATCATCATCATGATTGTTGATGCTGTTGCTGTTGTTTTTTTTTTGTTCGGTGATAAATTTTCTTTTTTTTCTTTTCTTTTTCTAAGATAAATTTTAAGAAATGTTATTTTTAAAAAAATAAAAAGAAAGACAGAAAGAAAGAAAGAAAGTCTTCTTATGAGATTTAAGTAGAGAGAGAAAGAGAAAGAGAGAAACGTTCTTGTGAAGGAGAGAGAGAGAGAGAGAGAAAGAGAGAAAGAAAAATGGATTCGGTAAAGTGAATCGTCTTCGTGCCTAATATTTATATACATATATTTATATTCGTAGGTTTTGTGTACGTAAAGTTTTATTTAATATTTTTTTCTATTTTTTTTTTTAAATTATAAATATTCTAAGGGTAGACAAGGAATGAGAGGAGAAAAGGGGGGGTGAGGGTGGGAAAAACAAAAGACAAAAAACATGAAAGGAGAAGAAAAAACCGTTAAAAAAAGTTTTTTTTTTTGCTAGCCTTTTGTCTTCTCATATATTGTCTTCGTCTTATATATGTCTTCGCTATATGCAAATTAAACGTATGCATAGTTTTCGATTGATCGATATCTCGTTCGATTAAATTGCAAGCAAAGTCAAAAAAAAATGGCGGCGGCGGCTTTTGAATATTTAATGTTATTACTTATCGAAAAGATTGTTATTTAAAAAAAAAAAAAATGAAAATTTTTGAATCGGTTAATTTTTGGCGTTTTTTTTTTACCTTTTTTCTCTTGTTATAAATGTCGGGGGAGGAAGGAAGAGAAGGTTAAAGGTCAAGAAAAAAAAACGAAATAAAATATTCGGGAACAAATAACACAATAAAAATAAAATGTCACAAATTCGGGAATGAATGAAAAAGAAAAGAAAATAAATCAAAAGAAACTAATAATAATAATAATAATAATAATAATAATGCTGATGATGAGAATGATGATGATGATGATGATGATAATGATAATAATAAATTTTTTGCTTTGTAAAATTTAAGTATAAAAAAAAAAAGAGAAGGAAATGATTTTCTTGTTCTGCTTTCATATATATGTAATTGATAATAAATGGAAAAAAAACTATTATTATTATTATTACAACTATTATTATTATTACTATTATTATTGTTATTATTATTATTATTATTAAAAAGAAGGCAGTTAAAATGATATTTAAAGATGTTTATATATATGAAGAAAAATCTTAATTGTCGGTGGGGAGAAACAAATAATAGAAAATTTTATTATTATTATTATTATTGTTATTAATCAAAATGAAAAAACCTCGTGTTGATACCTGGTGAGGAAGGAGGGGGGAAGAGGGAGAGAGGGGTAATAGGGGGGGGGGAAGGAAAAATTGTTGTTGTTGAAATTTTTTTATTTTTTTTTATTTTTGGCACTATTATTATTATCATTATTATTATTTCTCGGTGTAACTAATTAAACTCACTCACTCGTACCTGAAATGAAATTATTAATTTTTTAATTAAAAAATGTTTTGAAGATTTTGAATAAAAAAAAAAAAGGTTGTGGAAATTTTTGCTTGTTTGTTTTTTTTTTTTAAAGGATTTGAAAGGTTGCGTAAAAGGTTCCAGGTATTAATTAAAGGTAGAAAAAAAAATAAAAGAAAAAAATGACGACTCTTGAAACTCGTTCGTTTCTTGTTCGAGTGCCATAAATGAAAATTTAAATAAAAAAAAATGTCTTATAATTTGAAATTATTTCCAACTGACGAGAGTATTCAATTCAAAAGTATTTTAATTATTATTATTATTATTATGTAATTAATTATTTATTAAAAATTATTATAATAAATTTAATGAATAATTTTTTTGTTGTCGTTATTTTATTTAAATCCTCCATCTTCTCTCTCTCTCTCTCTGTTGTTGCCATCTTCTACTTTCTCTCTCCCCCTCTCTCTCTGTTGCTACCATCTTCTACTTTCTCACTCTCTTTCTCTCTTTCTCTGTTCCCATCTTCTACTTTTTCTCTCTGATTTTATTCATTCCTTGTAACACCTAACATCCATGACCTTCTTCGCAACAAGTATATTCTGTCTGATACGATAGGAAAGGAATCATGAAAAGCGAAGAAGAAAACCGTTACGTTATTTATCGATCGATAATCGAACCGGAAATATAGATTAAAGAAAAAGAACTCATCGGGATCTTCCAACACGGATAGCGGCGGGAACGGAAGGAGTCGGCGAGCCGGGCGGGAGTCGCGCCCCGTTCGGGTCGTCCGGGTCTGGAAGTTCGCTTTTTTTGCGGAGGAGGCGGGAACGGCGTGGCAGGTCGGAATTGTCTCCCGAGGCACGAGAGAGGAAAGGATTCGTCCCGGTACTTCGAATCGGGTTCCGGATTTCTTGCTCGATTACGTCGGGGGAAGGTTCGTCCCGGCTTTGGTGCGTAGGCGTTCTTCGCAGCGGCCCGGGTCGTGGCGGATTATCGGGGCGTCAAGAGATCGTCGGGGGAGGGGGAACGGGGATTAATGTTCCTGTTTACAGTTTCATGTCATCGGTCTTTCCCTCGTTGTGGTAGCAGCGGCAGGGACGTGTAGGTGAAGGGATCGGGCGGGCCGGCCGGGAGAAGCGAACCCGTCCGGGTCGTTCCGTACCGGAAACTCGCGTTTCCTGCAACGGAGGCGCGAGCGACGTGGCAGGTCGCGATCGTCTCCGTAAAGGTGAGGGTGAGGGCACAGCGGCGGCGGGCGCGAACCCGTCGTCGCCGGGAAAACACACACACACACCCACACTTCTTTTCTATCTTCTCGAGAGTCGGCGACCCCGGTCGATTCCTTTTCTGTCCAACTTTTTCTATTCCCCATACCGTTAGGGAGGATGCTATCAACTAACTCTTAACTTTAATCTTTCACCCTTTTCAGGCGACGACGGTAAGTCTAAATCCCAAGCCCCGATCGCATCCTCAGGAAACAGGCGAGTTTCCCGTCCCATTCCCCCACAGCGAGGGACCGGAGAACACTCCCGAAAGGGACTGCCGAACATCCCGGGAGGTGCGTTCTCATCTTCGAGGCGGAGACGGAACGGAGATTAGGGCGGACTTCCCCAAAAGCGATCATGTGGAACGGCCAACGTTCTGACCTACCGGAGAGGGGAGACTGAAATGTAGGTTATACTCCCACGAGCGTCTTCCCCCTTTCCATACAGGTCACGCTATAGCGAGCGACATGCCCAGGAGTTTTAGTGGGTATGGGTTCTCGGTGAGGCTTTCTTTAAATTCATACCGGGTCCCACACTCCCTCCTTTCAAAGGAGAAAAAAAAAAAAAAGACTCACCGACGACGAAGCTCGCGTTCGTCGCCGCACCTCACTAATCGAAGACGCCGTCGCCATCCTCTTCTTCTTCCTCTTCCTCGTTCCGACGACGACGTTTTCTCTTCGACGGCCGATGACGAAGGTCCAGAACCGCTCCTTCTGTTGCCTTCTCCTCATCTTCATCCTCCTCGCCTTCCTCATCAGCGAGGTTTATTGATCTTTTAAACTCTAACCTAACCTTAGATCTATCCTTACACCTATCCTTAAACCTATCTCTAGACCTATCCCTAAACCTATTTGTCCGGAACATATGTCGACGAACTCCGGACTTTTCGCGGTCCTCTTTCGCCCGTAGAACCGCTTCCGAAAATCGCGAAACGGCGGACCATTCCCGGGGCCCGCGAAGCAATGCATTCACGAGGCCGCGGATCGACAAGTCGGGTCCGATGACGCCGACAAGCCACTGCCTGTGATCGTCCCACGTGGGACATATCGCGACCGTGTGCTCGACGTCGTCCTCGGGCGCACAGCAGAACCAACACTCCGTCGTCGCCTCTCTGCCGATGCGCGCCAAGTACGAGCCGAACACTCCGTGGCCTGTGAGTACCTGAGCGAGACGATAGGTCAAGTTTCTGTGACCCGGCCCCACCCAGTCCCCCAATCGGGGGCCGAGGGCGACGACGATTTCGCCGCCGTACCGTTTCCTCCCGTATCGAAACGCGCCTGTCACGTTCGCCCCGTGCGATCGCGAAGTTCCCTGCGGAATCGGGCTCTCCTCGGCGAATCGGGCCGCGACCCCGCTCGCGGTAGAGGACGAGTCTCTCGACCGCGAGGAGATCGAGCGGGGGAGTTCCCTACAAAAGGCAAGCCACCTCCGCCGCGACGTCCCTGTACGCCGTCGCCACCTTGTTCAGAGACGCCTTTTGGAGCCGGATTGCCCTCTCGCGAAGCGGCCGCGATGCCGCCACCGATTCGGCCCACATCGGTGCTCTGTACAGGGCCACGGAGTGAACGACCGTCGCGTACAATCGCCTGACCCTCACCCGCGGACCCCGCAGGTTCGGCATCAGGCGCCATAACGATGCGCTCGCGGCTCCGATCTTCGGTCCGAGGAGCGCGAGGTGTTGTCCGAAAGTGAGACCCGAGTCGAAAGTGACCCCCAAATATCTGAGCGTCCTCCCCACCCCGATCCTCACTCCCCCAGACGACAGTGCCAGGACGTTGGGAAGCCGATTCCTCAGACGGTGGAATCCGCAGGCTTCCGTTTTCGGCAGAGACACCCGGAGTCCGATGCCCCGGATGACCTCCACCGTCGCGCAAAGCCCCGTCTCCGCACGATCCCGGACCTCTGCCCACCCGCGACCGGTCGCGAGGAGCAGGATGTCGTCCGCGTAACAGATGAGAGAGCAACCTTCGGGAAGGACGGTTCGAGCGAGGACGCAGTCGTAAGCGATATTCCAGAGGAGCGGTCCGAGGACTGACCCCTGGGGCACGCCACAGAAAACGTCCGCCGTTTCCGTCGTTCCGTCGTACGAAATCTTCCTTTCCGAGAGGAAGGACTCTATCACCGAAACGAGATAATCGGGCACGGACTTCGAAACCAGTCCGTCCCGTATCGCCGATCACGGAACCGAATTGAACGCGTTTGTCACGTCTATCGAAACCGTGATCGCAACTCCGCCCCGGCGCTGAGTTTCCTTGAATTCGTCTCGGACTCGAACGAGCGCCGTCGACGAACGACGAGTCGATCGTCGAACGGCCCGGCCGGAGCCGTACTGATTCGGAGAGAGGTCATTCCTCCCTCCGTCCGCCCCCATGTGACCGATTATCTGCGACGCCACGACGCGCTCGAACAATTTACCCTCCACGTCGAGAAGACAAATCGGCCGATAAGCGCCGGGCGTCGACGGGTCCCTACCCGGTTTTTCGAGCAGCACGAGGTTCGCTCGCCTCCACTGCTTCGGAAAGACGCGAACACATCACCCCGACGGATTTGCCGAGGATCCGATAATGCACGCCGTTCGGGCCCGGAGCCGAGTGCTTCTTGGAGGCCGCGAATCTCCCCCTCGGTCACTCGGTCGCGTTCGCGGTCAAAGGCGAAGCGCGCCGAAGGAAACGCGTAGGGCGCGACGTGAGGGAAGAGCTTCGCGACGACTTCGGCGGGAAATTCCCCCGTCATGCCGGCCGTCAGCGGCCCCAACGAACTCCGCAGCTTCTTGGTCACGATGCGGAACGGAAAACCCCACGGATTCGCGTCGACCCCGCTCAGGAGCGCCTTCCAACTCTCCTCCTTCGAACTCCATATCGCTCGGCGAACGCGAACCCGCAAAGCCTGCCACTCCGCTTTAAGCCCCAGCAAAGTCGAATCGGTCACGAT